CAATATTTGGTAACATTTGATGAATTTAATAGTAATAGATTCGTGGTAATAAAACCTTAGCATGTAATATTATTATTTTAGTTATATTCTATTATATACATAAAAAATTGCTTCATATAACAAAAATTGTACAATAATATTCTGATAAATGCCTAGTATCATTACCAAATAAATGCTTTAGAACGAGATAATATTGCTATTACAAGCTGATAAATGCCTTATAATAAGTTAAAATCGTTGCTAAATTAAGTCTAAAATTAAACTATTCCGGTCATAAAATATTCGTTTACATGTTTCTTACTAGTACTATTAACAAGCTTGATAATAAGCCTAACTTATTTCCATTATAGGCCTACAAAAATTCTTTTATTGGACTTATGCTGAATCTGAGGTTTTTAGCCAAGTAAATATTAAAAATGCTAATAAAATTTTTTAAATATAAATTTTATCTATTATACTATGAAAAAAATAATATATTCCTTCTTTTAAATGTAATAAAGTACTGTATTTAAAATAATTTATCACTTAAGATCTCTTTTTAATAGAATATTTTGATAACAAATTACTAAAAAGTTTTACTAACATTATTTTTGGTTAGTTCATATATTTATAATATACTATTTTAAAAAATTCAGAATACTCTAACTATTTAAAGATTTAATATGATTTTATCTTAAAAGGTTATTTAATACCCTCTTCTTTAAAAGATAAATATTTGCATTTATGAGTTATTTTCTAAACTATATCTGATTAGAATTACTATAATTTTTCTTATTTTGGTTAAGATATTATTGAAAAGTAGTCATATTCAGATTTATTTTACATAAAGTTGCTGTTTAACACTTTATTAATAATTCAATTCTCAGTATTGATCTAAGATTTTTTTTAAGAAACAAAATATTTTTACTTTATATTCTAATTGCTTTTTTAATTTAATATATTTTATTAGATATTTTAATATTACAATTACTATATAACTATTTATTAATATTATCGATAATGACTTACTTCAAATTATAAAACTCATATAGATATTTTATAGTAAAAAGATAAAAAGCTATCAAAAAAAATTTTTTTTATTTTATATGCTAAATATTATTTTTTTAATAAAATAAATTCAGATTTAATATTAACTCAAAAAATTTTTTTTATAATTTTCTTTTTTTTTATTACAAAGTATTTATATATATATATTCATTTTAATAAATGATAACAAATTATACCTTCTTAAAAAAATATAAATATCATCATTGAACAGGTCAAATAGCATTATCTAATAGTTTATCTTACTACTAATCAACAAAATAAATTAGTTCTGAATATCTTATCTTATATTATCATTATTATTTTATTTAGTGATTATAATATTAGTTACTCATTAATTAAGTTTTACTTTTTACTTTAATTTAAAATATTTAATATTTTATATAGATAATTTTTACAAGTTTGTCTCTATTTTAATATCCTTATATTTAAATTCTATTTTTTATCTTATATTCACTTCTCTAACTATAGATTTCTCAACTACTATTATTGCTATCTAAGCTAATTTTACTGATGCTGAGATTTTTGCTTAATTATTTATTTTCTTAATTTGTCCTTTTACTTTAAATATAACTATTAATACTAATAGTTTAACTATTATTTATATATATAATTATATAGTTAAAACTAGTGTTTTTAATTATTATACTCTTATGTTTAAAATTTCCTTTTATATTTTTTAATCTATTATTTGTAAAATTCTTAAAATATGTTAAATTTTCTTATCTTTATTAAATAGCTACTCATTTGAATGATTTACACTTCCCTCAAAAAATATTTAATTAAGAATTATTTTAAATTTTTAAGATCAGACATATCAATTAAATAAATTTTTTTAAAATATTTTTTTAGTTTTAATGATGATATATATATATTATATTTGTGTAATAATGTATAAATTAGGTTTAATAAAAAACATAAATAACTCTGTGAATAAATTATTAGTTTAAAGTTAATAGAAAGGATTCATAAAGCTAATTTATGCATTTTAAAGTTTTTAAAAAGTATTATTACTGATATAATTATACAGTATGCTATTTTTAATAATAAATTTAATGTTAAAAGAATAAATATAATGATTTATATTTAGATAAATTATAAAAAAATAATTAGACATCTCTTAAATATTAATAATTTCATTTATTTTAAAAATTTACACTTAAAATTTTAATAAATAATATTTTGTTTTTAGATGATCAGATACTTTTTAAGGGTAGTATATTTAATAATAAAACTGATAGATTAGCAAAATTTTCTTATTTTTTACCTTCTTTACAACTTTCTCTTAATTATATTCTTTTTATTAAATATATTCTTATACATATACATCATTTTTTAAGGTTTTTTCTAAAAGATTTTACATATACCAAATATTTTATAGATTGTTTTTAACTAAAACATAATATTAAATACTAATATTTATAATTTATTAGCTATTAATCTTTAAATTTATTCAAAATAGTATATCAAATATAACTTTATACAAAGAATTTAAAGTTCATAACTAAAAAATCATATTTTCTTTAAAAAAGCTATTTACTATATAATTTATAAAAGTAACATAAACTTTTATTTATATATTTCTTAGAAGTACTATTATTATTCTTATGTTAGAAAAAACTTTAATCACATTTGTTTATATATTGCTATAAAGTTTATATTATAATCTTCATATTTGACTAAAGTGCTATATTAAAATAACATATTTTATTTATATCTCAAAGTCTACTTTTTAAATAATATCAATATACTTCTGAATTCTAGTTATAATATTTGGTCAATAAAGATAGTCCTTTATAATTTAATATTATAAAATTCATAAATTTTATTATTAAATTATTTTACATGATATTATTACACTAATTTTATAATACTTAAAAACAATTTTATAATATAAGATTTTGCTATTATTATTATATTAATTTTATTAAAAAATAATTTTGAAATTTAATTCTATTACAAAAATGATTTTTAATAAAAAAATTTTTTTTTAATAATTTTAAAAAAGAAAATTAAAAAAAAAATTTTTATTGAAAGATATAAATAATTTAAATATCTATTCAAATAACTATTCAAATAGATAATAATGATTTTATATTAAATATTTAATAAAATTAATAAATTTTGAATTTTAGAAGAGTCTGAAACTTTTTAAATAATATTAATCACTTTCAAATTTTGTTTTATTTCTAAAATCTAACTTTAGATTTTTTAACTGATATTAATTGACTATAAAAATAAATTTATATATTATATAATATTATAAATTAAAATCTCATTTTTAGTTAAAAAGCTCTGTAACTTGATTCTAATAACTTAGCTCCTATATATTAGATTGTATTAAATAAAATTAACTATTTATATTTTAGATAAACTACTTACAATTCTGTGTAATTACAAGTTTATATATAAATAATAATTGAAAGAAGTATAATTAGATAAATATATTTTGATAATATTAGAATACTACAAGCTTTATTTAAAATAAATCCTTTTTAGTAGTAGATTGATCAATCAAACTTTTCAATATTATTTAAAATATTTAAAAAATATTTAAGTATTCCAATAGTAGATCTGTAATTGTACTAAAATTAAGCTAATTTACCAAATATTTTAATATTTCAATTATCTTAAAGGTTCTTTCTAAGAGAAATAAATAATTAATAACTTGTGTAGTTATTAGCATAAACAGATCCTTATATAAAGACAAGAAGAAGGTTAAAACTATAAAATAGTATTTTTGTTAAAATTAGATTAGTTCTATGATTAATTTAGAATACTATTTAAGATAACTCTATCAACTTAAGGTTAACTTATATGTTTATTTACTAGAGAATAGGAACTGTTATTAAGTTTGAATGATCTTAACTAAAATAATTCATACTTTAAATCTATATTTTTGTGCAATTGCAAAGACAATCAGCATCAACTCAATTATCAAACAGGTGGACAACGCATATTAGATCACCTTTGTTAAACATATATAGTTCTATGCTAATGCTCTTGACTAATAAAAATTCTAAAATAATATTAAGCTATACCTTTCTAAAGATAAATAATTCAAATAAAATAAATTAATAATGAAAATTATAACGTTACAAGTTTGACAATCGCCGTACATAGGAATTTTTTAACAAAATTTTGATTTTTATTGCATTTGATTTTTGAAATGTAATGTCAATTTTAGTCAAATAATTTAGATGATCATTTGGTGAATCACGTGATAACTAATTAAATAAACTTTTATTACTTTTATTCTCAAATCATTTTCTAAATAATTTTTGTGTAAAATTTTTCTCTTTATCATGCAAAACAACAAAAGAAAACAAGTTTCTTCTGACTTAGCTTCTAATACTCCGAAAATTAGAAAGTACGTTACTTCTGACGGCTGCAAGTTGAATATTCGTGACAAATATTGGGGTATGCTCATTCCTATTAACGAAGAAACAAGTGATCGAATTGGTTCTATTTATCTCGAGGCGGAATATCAAACATTCGGAAAGAACGAAACCCGCAATGGTGTATGTATTCTAAAAAAAAATCAAACAAGTTGATATAAAACTTATTTATTTTATACGTCCTTAGTACCAACATATGCCAAGCGATTATGAACTTCATTGCATGTTATCTAAGGTGAGTTTGCTTAAGCATTCTTTAATCCATTAATTTTACTAAGTATACATCGTAACAATAGATTTGAATTTTCCCCTCTGATTTAGAACGAACACGGAATGAAGATCACAAAAATATGGTTGTATTTAAGGTTATTATAACTATTTTAAATGCGTTATACTTAATATTTACTATAACTATAACAGTGGAAACGTAACTTACATCAATCCGAAAGGAGAAGATTTAACTTTAAATAATGCTGGTGATAATACCGTCATTGTTGAAGGCTGCCTATTCCTAATACACCTTAATGAATTTACTGCAAAATGTGAGTGTATTATCATTAAATTACATCTTACCAATTTCTCACATGTGAATTCTTTAATAAATACAATTCCTGCATGATTAAAAATAATGGTTATTCTAAAATTAATAATTTAGTTAAATTTCTTCTTTGGGAATGTCACTGTGGAAGCGTTTTGGTAAATATAAAGTTCAATTTTGTATGATCATTTACATTCCTCTAAAATAATGATATTATAGTTATATGACAAAGATGATGAAATCACTATTAAAGGTCAGGGTGAAGAAGAAATAACAAACAAAGGTAAATTTTATCACGTATACAACAATTGAATATTTTAATTCCAGTAATTAACATAAATAAATTTATTTGTTTAGATAATAATTTACAATGTGCAGTTCATAAGTACACGATAATTCGTCAATTAGGGCAGTAAGTATTCTTTTATAAGTAATTTTCGATGTTTTTAAATATTTTATTGATTTTTATTAATTATTTTATTAATAGGGGCGGGTTTGGCTCAGTTTTTAAAGTTCGAAACCAAGAAAACAATAAAATTTGTGCTTTGAAGTGTTCTTGGAAATATTCCCTTGCTCGGGAGTATTATATGTTTAAAATAATAAAAGAAATTGTATTTGCTTTTTCTTATTAATCATTCACAATTTTATCAGTTCATTAATACAATTCTACATTTTTAGCCAAATGTCTTACAAATTTTTGGCGGTTTTAATTACGAATACACCCAAAAAAACTTTTTAATAATGGAATGGTAGTTAATCTTATTACTATTTATATTATATTTTTTGTTATATTACTTAATAACTGCTTGATTTTAGGATAAAAGATGGAACTTTACATGATCTTATTAAAAGTGAACACAGGTTTACCAAGGAGGAATTAGTTTCCCTTGCAAAGAATATGAGTGTCACATTAAATGTAATAACCATTTAAATTTTACATTTTAATTTTATAATAGACTAAATCCCTTTTTTTTTCGTAGGAATTTCATGAAAAAGGACTTGTATATAGGGATTTATCGGTAACTCCCTTTAATATAATCCTATGTGACTTTGGACTTTGCAAGGAGGCCGAAAAAATTATGCCAGGGAGACCTGGTGGAACGAAAGCTTATTGTATGCAAGATTTTATTTGAATTATTAATTATATTCTAAAAATGGTATTAATTTAATTCAATATATAGTTTCTCCAGAGATAATAAATAAATATGGCAAACAAACCAAATTCCATGACTATTTCTCCCTAGGAATAGTACTATTAGAATGCATTATGCAGAATAAATTTTATGGTTATGATAAAGTTTTTCAGGATGCTTCTTCAATAAGGCAAAAACAAATTATTGAAAAGACTTGTGCTCAGTATTTTGAAAGGAAACATTCATGGATAAAGGAAATAAATGATGAAGGTGATTTATGATTTTTCTTTTTTTGTATAATTTATTATTATCACAGTATATTTAATTGTAAAAATATCAAATTTAAATAATATAGTTTATAACATTATTGGAGATATGATAAGAATATCACCGGAAGAAAGAAAGCTATTTATACCGAATGCTTAGCCACAACTTTATATGGGGTTCAGGCGTACATCTTTGCGCTATTTTGGAATATCCGATTAGATTGCAAATAATTCATGCAAAAAGTAATAAAGGTTCCTATAAGTTCTACCAGAGCACACTTAAATTCTTGGAAGAGTCTTATTTTATTCAGGAATATCCTGTTTCATCAACGAATTCAAATACAGATAACGCTATTTCTGCAGAAAGTCCTACTCGTTACTATCTTCAATCTCTTAGAATTGATAAAATAAACAAAACAATTTTTGGATGATGGTATTCTCCAAAATAGTGATCGTAATAAGTTTGAACAGGTCATGATTATTTAAAAACATCGAAATGGAGCTAGTTCGTAGATTAGTTTTGAACAACTCTCAGGAATATATGGAACCTTTCACATATCACATGGTATTATTCAAAGAACATACAAGTATTTTTTGGGATATCAAATCTTTAATTAATCAACAGAAAATTCCATCTGATAAGATTATAGGCGTGGTACCAACTAGTGCTATATACAGTAAATATCATAATAATAATTCATTATCTTATGATGAACTTCTATTTTCATTAGAAATTTTGCTTTGTTTCGTAAAACGTACATCGTTTGGAAACAAAGAGACAACAATTCTTGATTATTTTAATCAATGGATGAAATTATCCATATTCTTATTAAACATTGGAACATGTCTCAAACATTTAACAGACCTTTATGAATTGATCGAAGAACAAATTGCAAATTCCGTGATAAAATATATAGACATACAAGGTGAAGAATGAAATTGACTCAATATCATCTTCGATATCGACAACGTGTTTCCAGAACAGTTAGATTGTTAATCGACTTCGTCTAGAAATATGAGGATATACTGTACTTAATTAATAAGTGTCTCTCCAACGGTCCTGAAGGCTTAATAGGTGAAATGTGGTAATATGAAAAGAAGATGATACGGCTGACCGTAAAGTAAATGTGATCTATAGCATTGGAAAAAATTTTTGAGGTTTTCTAATTTGGATATTGATTGGTGAAAATTTATTAAAGGGGTGTGAACTTTCGAGGTTGAACAAGATAAATTCTGACAAAAGAAAATTCTTTATTCAATTCATTAATAGAGATTCTCAAAATTTAATGTGAAAAACGCCATTAGACTTAAAATGTAAATACAATAGATAAAATCTTACTTCGACAAATTGAAATTATCAGCATACATTTTTTGGAGATGTGTACATATGAACTCGTAATTAAATTCACGAAAGAAAATATAAAATAAAAAAGTTTACCTTAGTATATATATATTTTTTATGAAAAATGGATGATAAATAGAAATAAATATGATAGTTTAAATGATTCATGTAAGATCAAGCCGGGAATCGAAATTTATAGACGAAAATTCGTCCAATTATATGGTTATAAGTCCGAACAGGAAACTTGCTGCGACTTTAATCCTCGTATGAAATTGATTACGATTTCTTTTAAATTTTGATATTTCATTGAATTCATTACTGATTTCATTCAATTGACTTATCTATGATTAAGAATCTTATGTACTTAAAATTTACTTCGTCAACAACTTAACCGCTTATGTAATAAGAATTTACCTTCCAATACCTCAAATGTCCGAGAAAATGTAGAAAATGCATTCATTTCCGTATTATGTTTAGCATTAAAATATAATGTCAAAAGCTGAAGATGACGGTTCAGTCGAAATCCTAAGGGATGATTTTAAAACAGAATTTTCAACAGAAACGTTAGTTTTTCAGTGATATTAATAGAGCGATTGAAACTATTATCTAGATAAACGTATAAAAATTCGGCAAAGAAAGCCGATCAATCGAATGGATTCACTAATCTATTCATTCTATCGTCATGAATACTTCTGGAATTGCAAAAATATTTATCAATCAAAAGAATCCTTACGTTATTCATCGTTCAATATTTAAAAGTTTTTCGGTCGCGAAAGTATATGAATTTCCAACAACCATTCAAATTAAAATAAAATATATTGTAGAGAAAAAATTTATTATTTGTTGAAGATTAGACTGAATTCTATACTATATTAGCATGCATAAATTGTTATTATGATTTTGACAAAATGATAAAAAATAAAAAAATAATTATTACTTTGAAATTTTCGTAAAATTTCTTTTAACCTCTTTGTGCGCTAAGCAACCTTTTTGTTTTTTTACATCTTAAATTTCTACGAATTCTATATTTATATGAATTTGCTGCGCCGTCATTTAATGATTATCTTCCAAGTCACTACGTATTTATATAGCACAAAAAGATGATAATTGTATTATTTGTTTAAGCATATTACATATTTAAACAATTACAATTAGTTTTACTATGATTAATTACAATGAAGGAATAATAATTTAGATGAGAAAAATTTAAACTATGTATGACATTTATTCGTGTCTTATTTTAATTAAGAATTTAGATATTCCTTGTCCTACGTTTACCTCATCTCTACTCAAAAAATAAAAAATTTAATATATTAAGAAAAACTATGTAATAAAATATATACAACTATTACTTACTTACTAAAGGATTTTTATATATAATCCTAGAGTCACGAATTTCTTATTAGTTTCCTTAATTATTCTCATCATTAGTACGAAAAGTTCCTTCAATTACAAATGGTGTCATAATCAATTCTAACAGTTAATTGTTATTTACATGATTCCAGTATAAATAACCATTCTGTAAAATAAAAAATATATATATATAAATACATAAAATTAAATGCTGATTGATCATACAATCTGTGTATGTATCTTTTTCATATTACAAATCGAGGTTCCTGTTGGCCTTTCTGGGTACCTGTTGGTCTTCAGATTGGCCTTGGACCTCTTGACAAGTTGTTAGTATAGTTGTTTTATTAAAGTTTATATAACTAAATTCTTTAGTTGTATAAGAACTACATATTGAGATCCTGTTGTACTCTTATCCCCTTTGAATTCTTTCAAATATTAATTAAGAAATTGATGTATATATTAGAATAAAAAAAAAGACTCAATTTCAAGTCTATCACATCATAATTTTGAATCGTTAGAGATAGTGTCTTCTTATGCCTTAACCCAAATATTTTAACGACTTCCGATTTTTTGATATTATACATAATTTTTGTGTATTGTCTCGTAAAATTTGTACATCAGATTCTATAACGAAACAATTTCAGATAAAGTCTCATGAAGTGTTTCCATTTCATACATCAACCTTTCTTGGTACCAAAACAATCCTGAAGCAAGGTAAACTTTACTAAATCCACCCTCCTCTAATAATAAATTATTGTCAATAATAAACTTCAAGTAACCTTCCTCACATGATGTTGTCACGTCCTTTGATGTTTTCAATTCTATTCGTCTAATTTCCAAAATATCTTAAAAAAATCTAATTTACATCAAAAGCAATTCTCTTATTAGTTCATTCAATAAAATTTTCAATTTACTTTGCTTTTCGTATTTACGTTGCGTATTGGATTTGAGGCTTTTAAATTCTCCATTTCAGATCCTACGGTAATATTGTCCAAACTATCAAGATAATCATAACTGGACTGGTTGATGATGATGATTACCTCCTTTCATTTCTTATACAAGCTTTTGCTGTCAATTCCTAATCTCTCTTGTCTTCCTTTAAATGACGCTTGATTTCATTTGCAAGGATCCACTCAATCCACGTCCTAAAGTTCAAAATTTAGATCGTATTTAGGAATTGCAAAAAAGTGGTTACTTCCTCACCAGAATTCTTGAATATTTTTTTTTATTTGCACTTGGTGAATCGATATATAAAATAATGAAAAAATAACATCAAAGTCTACTAGAAGCTGCACGGAAGATGTAATTATAGTAAAAATGAGGGGACGTACTGTATAAAAAGGATATAATTAATCAATTCCTCAAACTTAATTAATTTAAACAAAAGTATTTATGTTTTGATTCCAGATGAAGAATTTGATGTAATGCTTCGTAATCTGTTTTCTAAACCTTAATAAACCTGTTAAAAGTGTGTTGCTGCAACTACTAAATTAAAATGAAAAAAAGAAATATTGAATAAGAAATATCATATCCACGGATTTATGAAGGGTGATTGATTAAAAAAAAATAGCCCGCGAATCAATTATTATTTAATAGTAATACATATAAAAACCACGTGTTCGTTCGAGTCTTTAATAATATTTAAATTTTGCTATAAAGCAGCAGCTGTTGGCCTTTTATTTGGATCAGAATGCCAACAATTTTGCATTAAACTAATATAACCCTCAGGTGTATCTGTGATAATTGGAAGACATAAACCATCACATATTTTAATAATAAGTCCAGTATCATGATCTTTATCCCAAAATGGCTTTCTACCTGTCATTAACTTTTATATAATCATACCAAAGCTATAAATATCTGTTCCTATAGTATAACTTTGTCCTAGAAAAATCTCAGGTGCAATATTCCATAAATATTATCATTTTCTGTTAAGTTAGTTGAAGACTTACTTATTTCTAAATAGCTTATTACCACAGGATGCTTGCTAGTAGAATTACTGCAAAGTATATTACCACTATGTAAATCTCAATGAATAAAATTTTGATTATGAACATGATAAAGTCCTTCTATAATATCATCTAACATTTTTATCTTTTTAATCTATTCAATATTAAAAAAGTTTTTTGCGATGTAATGATACAAATCACCTGATTCATAATAATTCATAATAAAAATTAAATCTCCTGTAATAGTATTAAGGGTAATTCCATAATATTTATTATATGAAAAGAACTATATAATCCACAGTTTATATTCAGATTGAAATATACTTTTAGCTGAAATTATAAAAAAATTAAAATAAAATTATTAACGTATTATATTATTATTAAATAAAAATTAAATATTATCTCATGTAACTCCTTAAAAAATATATTTTTAGTATTATTGAGTTTTTTGAGAGCAACCATTGTAGAACCTTTCTGTTCAAAATTTAGTTTACCATGTTCAATTAGATCATCAATCCAATTGGCTTTATAAATTTTGCTAAATCTTCCTTCAGCAATAAACTTAATATTTTCTAATTGATTATAAGGAATAAATTCCATTTCTACAATTTGATTTTCATAATTAATTTGTGTTTCTCTAATAAAATTATCAATAATTCGATTTTTACTTGAATTATATATGTTATTACAGACTTTACAAATCCATGGATCTTCTTTAAATAATTTACTCCATTTATTATATTTATTATATTTCTTATACACTTTAATACAACTTTGACAAATTTGTAAATGTTTTACATAAGGTTTTTCCATTTATGACATTCATTACATTTATCATAAAGTATAATACATTTATAACAAATCATTGAATTTTTTTCAGAAGGTTTTCTCTATTCATTACATTCATCACATTTACTATACATCAAAATACATTCCTAACAAATTTTCCATAGAAGGTTTCTTCCATTTATGACATTTATCACATTTCTTATAAATTTTGCAAATTTGTTAATCATATTCAAATTTACTTCAATTATGACAATCTTTACATATTTAACAATATTGACAAATAATCTTCTATTCAAAACATACATTACATTTCTTATAAGTTCAATACATTCCTTACAAGTCAAGTTTGTTTATTTTCTTTAGAAGGTATTTTCCATTCATTACATTCTTTGCATTTTATATATTCCAAAATACAAAGTTTACAAATTTGTGGATTTTCTTTAAAAGGCATTCTCCATTCATAACAATTATTGCATTTTACATATTTTATACAAAGTTTGCAAATCTTTGGATTTTCTTTAAAAGGGATTTCCTATTCATCACATCATTACATTTTATAATACATTGTTGACAAATCTGTTGATTTTCTTTTGAATTATTTCTCTGTTTATGATATTTAGCACATCTATTATATATTTTTCTACATTTTTGACATGTTTGCTGATTTTCTTCAGAAATTATTTCCCATTCATCACATTCATCACATTTTATAATACATTGTTGACATATTTGCTGATTTTCTTCAGAAGGAATTTTCCATTCATCACATTTATTACATTTTGTATACACTTTAATATATTGATGACACTTTTGTTGATCTTTTTCAGAAGATATTCTCCATTCTTTATGCTTTATGCATTCTTCATACTTCAAAATATAATGTTGACAAATTTGTTGATTTCTTTTAGAAGGTTCACTTTTTTTGCATTTCTCACATTTCAAAATACAAAGTCTACAAATCTGTGCATTTCTTTTAGAAGGAATTTCCCATTCAATACATCGTATATATACTTTAATACATTTCTCACACATTTGTTTATTTTCTTTAAAAGGTATTTTCCAATCTCTACATTCTTTGCATTTTTCATTCTTCCCAATACAATGTTTACAAATTTGTGGATTTTCTATAAAAGGAATATTCAATTCATCACATTTATTGCATTTTTCATACTTCCAAATACAAATTTTGCAAATATGCGGATTTTCTTTAGAAGGTATTCTCCATTCATCACATTTCTCGCATTTTCTATATTTCCAAATACAAAGTTTACAAACCTGTGGCTTTTCTTTCGAAGGAATTTCCCAATCATCACATTCATCACATTTTACAATACAACGCTGGCAAATATGTCGATTACTTTCAGAATATTTTCTCTGTTTGCGACATTTAGCGCATCTATTGTATATCTTTTTACATTGTTGACAAATCTGTTGATTTTCTTCAAAAGGAATTTTCCATTCATAACATTCATCACATTTCTTATTTTCCATGGAAGGCACTTCCAATCGATTGCATTTATCGCATTCGTGATACATTAACTTCTTTTTTTTTCTTTATTTAGATTTATATTTTATCACTAAAACGCATTAATTTCACGGACTTAGAGTACTATTTATATATGCATAAAAATTACAGAAATGGATTATGATAAAGAAAGACCAGTTGAAAATTCTTGAATAGAACGAAATGAAAAAGTAAAAAAAAAGGATTTACAGAATTCCAACAAGAATGTCACTAGAACATTTTTATATTCATTGTGTAACGGATGATTTCCTAATAAGTGCGGAAATAATAAAAATGAAAAATAACTAGCCCGAAAGATTCGTAACGTAAAACAAAATCGAGTAGCCGTTATAATATACTGCGCCATTTACATTCAAATTTCTATAGATACAGTATATATATATATAATTATTTTTTTTTTTTTTAAAAAAAAAAAAAAAACTACAAAAATCTCAATTGATAAAATGCTGGAAATAATAATTACATTTTTACAAAAGCTTCAACCTCTTTGGATCGAATAAACATCTTTCTGTGTTTCGTAGATGGCATTTTTGGTAGGCGTATAATTATGGGACTCATATTGTGGTTCATTCACTTTTGAAGTTGAAAATTAGGAAATGCAATCAATTACTTTTTTCACGAACATATTCGAGAAAATTTTACTTCATGCACTTATGTTCAGAAATATCACGTTTGCTACCAGTTACAGTATTGAAAAAGGTAGAGAATCTAAAAGAATGTATCTTTTAAAGTTTTTTTTTTTTTTTGATAAGAAAAGGAATCTTAACAGCTGATTTTTTTTTAAAAAAAAATCTTGACTGGGCTTTTATAATTTATAAACAAAACTCCGCTCGAATCTTTGCTTTTAATCTTTTATCTTTTGGCTCTATTATGGAAAATTAATGAAATATGTATAAGATATTATTTTATATTATACTTAAGTATTTCAGGTAAGATAAGTTCGGTAATGTTCGTTTCGTTGAATTTTTTTTTGTTTTTTCTTTAGTTAATAATTATTGATGAAGACCAATTTTTACATTTGTTATTTATATTTGATACGCGGCCATGACCGGTTATAAACTAAGAATTCAATTAATAATCATCTCGATAAAAATTTAAAAAAAAACGCGATAATATTACTAAATTTGAATGGTGATTTAATGGCATTTCTAGAAGACAAGTAAATTAAAACATTATTTATATAAAAAGTATTAAAAATGCCTCGTATAACTTATATTGGAATATTTTGATTTTATTTTAAATTACAACATTTTATTATTAACCAACTATTACAAAAAGTGGAATTATAAATGTTGAATCACCCTAAATGGGGTATCATTAATTACATACCGTAAATATCAAATAGAAATATCAAATATATTATTTAGAAAATAATTTGGTTACTTTCTATTTTATAAAATTTAATAAAAGAACTTTGATGAATTGCTTTTGAGAAGTTTTTATTATTCATAAAAAGTTAGAATTATTTATAAGAATTAACAATACACTTTATAATAGATTAAATTCTAAATATATTTGACGTTAAAAGTTTCGTCATGATAAAGTAATAGTTGGTGGTATGAGTGGTAATTGGTGTAGTTGATCGTGGGTCATTCCTTGGATGGGAAATTTAATAATCCAAATAGATCCAGTTGATGGTCTCAATCCATTTGTATCCAATCCAATTGTGTACGCACCCATTTATAATTCGTCATTATTCAAACTT